ATCCTAACATTGTCTTGAGTTAATCTTTGAAACTTATAGGGACACAAATTAAACCTGTGTTGTTGATTTTAGAAAACACTACTGAAGCTGCCTTGCTTCCCTTCAGAAAATCTACATTTTAACTAACTTACATGACATTCTAGGCTACGTTGACTTTATCAGATGAAAGTTTATAGTGCATTTCATCAATTAATAAATAAATGTGAAAATCGTAATTTTCAATACAAATAATAGTCTCGCTGATGAGATTAACAAGTGAAAATGAAGAAAATTAAAAAGCACTACAAAAATTTTATCATCAACAAATATATGGAAGAGAGCACTTAAAGGGGGAGGGTCTTCATGCCGTGCATGCATTAGATACAAGTCTCATATGAACAAAGATGTCGACTTTGACTATTGGGGAGAGACGTTACTTTGACTTAAGTAATTTCTTTAGTGATTTGGAAGATATCGAAGGAGTCACCAACAGTACTTACTAAGAGTGCGCGTCCCACCCAGGTCAAAACTCGTGATCATGATTTACATTAGAAGAGTGCATTGGATTGCAGGAAAACCAATGTTTGTCAACACAAATGTCACATATGCGCAGCAAAATGACTACCAACCTTCAAGCAAAACTTGCATCCATGAAACAAAAAAATTGTCTTCATAGCTTAAACCCTACTTTGATAAAAAAAAACAAATTTGGTCAAAATACATATATTATAAGTTTTTTCTTCAGAGTTTCATATAGCCCGTCACAAGGAATAAATCGGTATAATTTCAGGATAGTCCTTAATAGTAAACCTCCCCAGCCCTAAAGCCCCTTTTCACATTCAATGTTCCACAATATTGTTATAATTTGTGGTTACGGACTTTTAATTACTGAAGTTGCAGTCAGATCATGATCTTCACTGTCCTGCCAGCTTGAATCTCTGACTGGGAATTTATTTGGGTCAGTGTGTTTGTCATGTAATTCACGTATTTTCTTTTGTTCCACTTCATCATCTTTCTGTAACAAAAACAAACATGACAAATAAAATTACGAGTCACTGGTATCAAAGTGGTTGTCGCATCAGGCTCATGATCGGTAGACCCAAGTTCAAATCCTACCTTAGGTTGAACATCAAAAAGGGTCTACCCTGGGTGAGTGTGCCACAGACTCAATGTGTGTCAGCGCTAGCACTTGCAATTTGAACATACAAAAAAAAAAGTCAGAAGACAACAGTGACATTCAATGTCCGAAACTGTCGCCTGGCACAAAAACATTTATAAAAAAAACATGACAAATAAAACACTGTTTTATTAGATCCTAGATCATTGGGTGTTTACTGGTAACTTCAGTAAAATTAGTGTATGGTCAGGGTGTACTTATTCTGTGACAACAACACTGAACAGATCAAATCAAACTAGGACATGTATATAGATAGGTGCATGATAAAGGTCAATTAACAGCTTTTACATATTTTTGTAATGTTATTAGTGGAAACTCAAAACTCTGCAAAATATTAATAAATGCATATTATATGAGTGCCTGTCAACACTCTACCTGTGACAATTTCATCAGGTTGTACATGCATTCCATATTCTTGCTTGCCAATAATTCAAAGCTGACGCCCTAATACTGTATTGTCAGAATGATGTAAGAAATTTGATGTTTTTACAGTTTAAAGCTCACAGAAACATTCAACACACACTGCGTGTGTATGTCATGTAGAGGGTATGGCACATACTAGGACAACAATTTTTTAATACAAGTACCCCGGGTAGGCCATTTTCCGTTCTCTGTGAGATTCCGTATTATGCGTGAAAACAAACGTAAAAAGAGAACAAACAAAGGTCATGTAGTGGCGATAAACATCGCGTGGGATTTGACAAACGCAAAAGTATTTTGGGATATTTCCATCTTTAATAATGTGCTGTCCACATTTGATGATGGTCAATTTTGATGAAGTAAGGGTATCTAAATGCAATATTCCTCTGTCGAAGATCAGCCTCTCGACTTTGAGCTATGCATCTTTCATGCAATACGCAAGATCTCACAGTTGAATGGAAAATCACCTATTGTATCCACAGCGCACATCTCTCAAAGTTGAGAAGAATATTTGGAGAGAGAGAAGATAGTTGTGAGAGGGAGATAGACCGCTGATATTTGGTGGGCAACAAAGACTCCAGTGGTTAATAAGAACGGAGAAACATTTAACATTCCGTAATCTTACCGTGTGATGCCACCTCATGAGTATGGCTCTTTCACCTTCCTTGCTCGTTGGTTGAGAATACTGCATTTGCATCTTGATTCTCTTGCCAGGTGACACTGCTTGCTCAATCACCAGAACTATCCTGGCCCACTGTAAGTGCAAAGATACACAAATATTAACAAAGATTGAGACTAACAATTTTAAATTTTGAATCAAAACAATAAAAATCTGAACGTTTGTTCAACAAATTTTCACCTAGAAGTAACTGACAAAAAACACTAGAAATGCAAAACCATTATCAATCATACTTTTACACTAAATGGCAGCAAGTACTAGTACTTGAATACAAATGCATGAGACTTGAGAATATTTGTGATTTGTTTTACAAATTGCAACATCTGCATAAAACAATTGAATAACTGACTGACTTTAACTGGGCATGTTTATCTATGTACAAGCTTGTTTGAGGTTGTCATCTTTCTCTAGTTTAAGTTATTCGTAACAGTTTTCCAGTTGTTAGAAAAATAAATGGATCTTATCCATGACTGAATATCACTCAATATATCACAGGATGCTGCACAGGATGCTGCACAGGATGCTGGGAAAAACAGTTTATATGTTTCAAGTATAGGGATGCGTTTCTTAGTCGAGTGAGGGCTAATAAAATTTGATAAAAATTGATATTTTGGGGTTTATTAATTTTGTCAAGTAAAATTCAATATTCAATATGTCAAGTAATATTAGTGTTCCACTAATAAGTGAAGTCAGACAACATAAGTTCTGAATAATGAAATATTACTCCCCCCCCCAAAAAAAAAACAACACTAAAAACTATGTAAACAATTTTTGCAAGTTCATTTTAAATTCTGTGCAAAACAATGTGCAATTTTTACTGTAGAAAATTAAATATTTTGATGCCAGAAGTACAAAAGTTATGCGCCCATTGCCAAATCAAACAGACTTGCACAGAGTATGTAATGATCCATTAATAAACAAACTTACCTGTCGTAACCATTCTTTTCTAGTTTCGGCGACCGTTGTATATGTATTTCCCATCATAGCGATCAACATATTAATAAGTAGTAATGTTACCAATACCATATAAAGAACAAACAAGAACTGTGCAAAAAATAAAAAAATGTAAAGTTAATCAAACATTCCATAAATTTCCTTGTATGGTAAAGGCAACACATTCCAGTATGATGTAAGTATTGATGAAAAATCAGTACATGTGGTAAATATTTAATATATCTCATATTTTTATGATGTATGCAATGGAAAATATTACTAAGGCCATTTTAACTCAAATCTGCATAAAAAATGACCTGTTGTATACAAAGTTTGGACTACAACCAGACAATTGGAGCACTAACGAGCGAATAACTCGCCTGTTTATTTCTTAATAATTGGAAAACAGAACCAACATGGCGGGGAAAACACAATGAGAGAACAGAGCATGCATGGAATAATGTAAAACGAACACGAGAGAGCGTTAACATGATCATAAATACAATAAACACACATAGTGGCGCAAGGACCCATTACCAGTATGTTTATTGGATGTACCAAATTTGAATGAAATATGTCCATGCATGACTGAGATCCAGTTCCCAAATGGCAGAAATGCTTGATTTTGATGAATTGTTAGCACTAAAATGACCACTATTCGGCCATCTTGAATTGATCATGGAGCAAATGTTTATACATGATCAGATGTGTGATTTACATGACAAGTTTGAATATGATCAGTCAAATCATGTCAGAGATATGCATGGAACAGCATTTCTTAAAACAAAATGTCGCCAGTCAGATTCAATTTGATCTGAAAAAAATTATGTGAATTAAGGACCTATTATGTTCAATCCATGACAGAGATCTAGTTCCAAATTGATAGAAATGCTTGATTTTAATGATTTGGATCATAAAAAAAATGTATGTGCATAAGTATAACATGATACATGTGTGAAGTCTGAATGAAATCGGCCAGGGTACGACAGGTACAGGTACGAATGGAAACAAGGTGAAAATTACTGGAACAAATCACTGAAAAATAACTTAAAATGTGCAAAATTTCGAACCACGATGCAAAAATAGTGATACTTTAATATATACATACCTTTCCCATATTAGGATGCCTTGTGTCATCAAATGACTCGTAGATATCTGCGAACTCTCCAAGAGACATAATAAACATCCCCAATATGGAATTGGCAGGATCAGTGAATAGACTGTTTGGTGTTCCAATAAATACAAGGTACATAGCTGTCAGATACAAAATAAAATTTATTTAATTAATTAATTATAAAAAAACAGTACACCATCAAATAAACAGGAGTAGTAATCTGTCAGGCCAACCTGAGTCATTGGACTAACCCCCAAAATATATTATAGACAAAAATGACTAGTTACGGTGTTATGTGTGTCAGAACATGACTGATTTATTTATTATCTGGAATATCTAACATCCCATCATGCAACATGATTTTTGAATTCAGTACACACAATATATAAAAAGTATGAACTATTTCATGTTAGAAGTTCACTTGGACACTGTGGCAATATACGTCGTCATATAGTACATTTAGGAGGTAGAGAGTATTAAAAAACAATTCTATGAAGAATCAAATTTTGATTAATAAAGCCACAAAGACAACATTCTAATCATCAACCTAAATTATTCTCTCTTGGATTCGGGTGGACTTGATACTCATATGAGCTGTTAATTTTTCAAATTAATCAAGAATTATTGGAATTATTAGTTATATATTATGCACAGAAAGGTAAATGAGCATGCAAAAGCTGTCAGTCAGTCAATCCATCAAAGAACTATGTCATGGCTGTCATTCTGTGGGTTGTGTTTATTATCACCTAATGTAATTTAGATGATTACTGATAATGAACAAGACCTGGACTATGCACTAGTGTATTTATTAACCTTTTCACCACCAGACTTTCTCACCCAAACTTTTCTGTACTTGTTTCTTATATTTTTCAATATTTATGGAAATGAATTCTAATTTTGGAACCAGCATTCAATTAAGTCAATTTTCACTCAACAAATTTGACTATTTTTGTCCCAATCTTCTGAAGGACAGTATAGACTATAAACAGGACTATTTTGTGACTTTGTGATGAAAAGAGGGAACTGGTGGTGAAAAGGTTAATATAATAGCTACCTAGAAGCATTAACTGCATCTATCTATCTATCACACATGTGCCACACAGTTGAGAGCAGTGTGAAATGCACATTACCCGGTAGTCACACCTACCTTGAGAGAATCCAATCAGAAAGACGACGTAAATTGCAGTGAATTTCAGAAGATCACCTTTTATCATTTTGTAGATCATAACGACAAAAGGCCCAACCAATTTAAACGGTCTGTGGGATGGAAAAAAAGAACATGGTATGAGTCATCAACACTAGATACTCGGTAGATCATTTTGTATATATTTTTGTGACACCTTAAGACTCAACAAGTTTATTAGAATGATGTTGTCCCATATCACCATTATTTTTAGTGAAGTATTATTCATTCAAGAATCTGAATGAGGGACTATCATGTTTTTGGAAATACCTACTAATTTTAAGTATACTGGTGTGAAAATATTTGTTTAGTTTCTGAATGCTATGCTATGCATTATCCTTCAGTTAATTACAACAATGTCTTTTGGGAGGTATGTACGGTACCCCCTATGCAGCAAATGAGACCAGTTTTGAGACTAACAGATGAAGATGCCATTTTACACAGTATTTGAGACTGATTTAGAGACTCTTTGATGCCACAAAAACCAAAAAAGAGACAGTTTTTGAGACCATCATTAAAGACCGTCAATTCATCAATGTTTTCAAGCTGA